ACCATTGTACAGCCTCTCTCCATCAGAATATTCGGAGATTTTATCCTGTACGGATTCTGTGTCTATGATTTTCTTCTTGATTTCCATCTTTTTCCTCAAGTTCTCACGCTTTTTCTCAATTGTTCTCAATCTCTCTTCAGCTTCTTCTTGATCCAACTTTTCCTGCTCCTCTATTATTGCTAATTCTAGATTCAATTTCGACGCTTTCGAAATCCTAGAAATGACAGACTTTTCTTGGATCTGCTGACTTCTGTCATCAGAATTTTTGTATCCACTGCGAGAATGGGTTTGTGATTTAGATTTCATCTGAAGCTCATCTTCAGAGGCCACCATCACAGAAAAGGCACCGTGTGCTGAAGTGGAAATCGCGGGCGCATCAGAAACGGTTTCAGGCACCCTAGTTCTACTAGTTGAAACCGCATTCGTAATTTCACTTGCAGCATATCTTCGAGGTGGTACTCCTTTTGTGCACCTCATACTCCTACGCAACATTGTAGCTTCATCCATATCAGTGTCTGCAGTACTTCTGATATCCATAACGCTGATTTAAGTAGTTCGAAGGACCATATGTAACTTTCGGAGATTCAAAGCACAAATAAACCTCTCGAAAGTTTATCTTTATTCAGATTATACAAAAATACGACTGACAAATCTTGTCAGATCAACATATTCAACTTTTTTATACATAGTGAAACAAAACACAGAAACAAAATATCAATTGGGATTCAACAGACATTTTTTGGAGAAACTGTATAAGAAATCAAAATTTTATTCTAAGTGGAGATTTCAATTGCCACCACACAAACTGGGGGAATTCAAATAATAATAGAGGGGGAAATATATTGAATAGTTTAGTTGATGACGGATACATGACCATAATTAGTGATTTTCAACCCACTATTATTTCTCTTCAATCCAAAAGTCTTATTGATTTGATTGTAACATCCCCAAATTTGTACAATAGAGTAGAAGTTAAAACATAAGAGGACACTTACGGGTCCGACAATTTTCCTATTGAAGCCAGTATCCAATTTAACAATCATGTTAATACTGACATGGACATAGACTTGGATAATGATGAGACAATTTTCAACTATAAAAAAATGGAATGGAACAAGTATTACCAATCTATTGAAATGTCCAGTATTAATTCATACAATGACCTCATAACGGCAATTAATCTTGGAATAACTGTAGCTGCCCCAAAAATTAACATGAACAATAATAGATATACAAATTTAATGAAGTCCCCATGGTGGGATGAGGAATGTTCAGAAATTGTTAAAAAAAGAAAGGAAAAATTTAAAGCATATAAGGAGTCATCTAATCAAGAAAATTTTATAGAGCTGAAAAAAGAGATAGCTAAATCTAGAAGAATGCTGAAGAAAAAGAAAAAAGAATCTTTTAAGAAATTTACTGAAACTTTATCAAACGGTTTTCTAGACCATTCTATTTTCAAGGAAATCAGTTTACAGAAAACAGAGATGATGAAAAATTTAATGAACTATTACTTGATAAGTTTTGTCAACCAGATGTACAGAGGCAACCGGTAAAAATCAACCGGATAGATGATAATATAGGCATAAATTATACGTTTAAAAAAAAGAAGTGAGATGCGTTCTGGATAGAGTAAAAGACACTACACCCGGTAAAGACAAAATTACATATAAGATGATTAGAAATTTGCCAAAAAATGCGTTTACATGGTTCATTTTATAATGAGATTTTGTTAAATAGTCGGGAAATTCCAGAGGAATGGAAAGATATAGTGTTGATTCCTATACTGAAACCAGGAAAAGACCCTAATAACCACAATAATTATAGGCCAATTGCCCTATCATGTTTGAAAAAAATTTTTGAACATTTAATTAAGTTTAGGCTCGAATGGTGGACCGAACATTATAACATATTACCCGATAATCAATTTGGTTTCAGGAAAGGCATGGGTACAACAGAAGCATTATTCAATTTATATGTAGATATTCAAATCAATAGTATAAAAAAAAACTGCACAGTAGCGGCTTTTCTGGACATTCAATCAGCTTATGACAATGTCATACCTGAGATCCTAGTCCAAAGTCTTAAAGATCTGGGAGTGAATAATAATGTTATTCTCATTATATTTAAGCTTATCAGTGAAAAGAATATATATGTTAGGGATAAGAAACATAAAATATGGGGCCCGAGAAAATCTTACAAAGGATTATTGCAAGGGTCAGTGTTGAGTCCTATTCTTTTCAACCTTTATACTGTTACACTATGGGATGCAATTCATCCACATTGCAGTTATATTCAGTACGCTGATGATATTACTCTATTCAAGTCCCATAGGTCTCATATATAGTTGCAAAACATTATATTAAGAGAGCGATAAGGTCAATGGAAGAATGGCTGGATGTACACGGGTTGAGTATATCAGCCGAAAAATCTAGATGTATGGTTTTTTCAAAGACACATCAGAACCAAATATTGAATATCGAATTTGATAACGCTAATATAGCTCAAGTAGAGCATCATAAAATACTTGGTTTAACCTTTGATAGGAAACTTACGTGGAAAAAACATGTTACGGAAATAATAAATAAGTGTAATAACATTCTGAATATAATTAAATATCTAGTAAGGGTAATAAGTTGGGGTTCAGATCCAAAAATTATGCTAACACTACATCATACGCTAATTTTATCAAGAATCGAGTATGGGTTGTTAATGTATGGAAACACTAGCAAGAATAATGTAAAATTAATATCTGGTATGCAGCTGAAATCGCTCAGACTGTGTATGGGCATTATGAGATCCTCCCCATCTAATACAGTATTGGTGGAGACCAATGAGTATCCCATTGATTTGAAACAAAATTATATTACCTTGAATTTTATGTTGAAACATTATGCCATCAGGTCGAGCCCAATTAAAAAAAAAATTATAGAATTTGAAGAAGCGGTGTCTAGAACAAATAGGAATAAAATGTCACAGTGGGTGCTGACATTAGCTATCCGGGAATTCAAATTACCCCCGTTTAACCAGATAAGGGCGATAAATAGGAATTCTCTTTACGAACTTCCTGTAGACAGTTATTACGAGAAATATGATATCTTGGAGGACATTGGCATAGAGAAAAAGGAAGAAGTCTGTAGAAGTATACGAACAAAATTTATTCATATAACTAACGAAAGAAGGCGATTCATGCTAAGGAGTACTCCCTCTACCGTTGTCTAATATAACTAACGTATGGGCCATTGATTGCTTTGTTTACATTAGTTTGCGTGTATTTTGTATGAGAAGTAGTTGTGTTTTAATTGTCTATAATTTTGTTTGAGAACTTCTATAAACGTTTAAAAACATGAGTCATCATTGTTGTGTACCTCATTGTTCATCTTGAGCAAAAAAATCCCGAGTATAGCTTTCATTCCTTTCAAAAATCAGGACAGTCTTAATTTGTATTTGAAACTAATAATTTGGGAAACAAGGAAGTGATCGGTAGGAGAAAGGTGTGGATTCATAACTTGAAGATTGGAAAAAGTGTAAAGTGTCTGAACATAATGAGATATTAGATATTGTTCTTTACACTTCACTGAAAATTTACTCATACCTATAGGTATATTTTCAAATGTATGTCTATTATGAATATAATACCTACTTCTTGAGGTGGTGGTAAAAGAACAAACAAATTTCAAACTGATTATATCTTTACTCATGAACAGTAGAATTTTTAAACAGTAAAGAATGTTATCAATCAGGGTTTCGATGATTATGTTGTAAAAAGTCAAGTAGAAACTGTTTACCTAAATTCACCTTCCAAAGAACACTTTATTCCCAAAAAGTTTTTAAAAATATCATGCACTATCAGGGGAATATCCCAGCTATATATTCGAATTGGAAATCAACATTCCACACAGGTTTTCATGAGAATTCTTGTTCAATAATGATAAAAACTTACAGCCTATGCATGTTGGTATATATGAAGTTCAACTAGAGGTAGGGAGGTTATCTAATGTTGAACAGAGATAATATAGTCCTCAATCAAAACACAGTAGACCGCTGGAAAATACAAAGTTCGAAAATAGACAAATAACAAAGCTGGACGTTTGAAAACTCAAAACGAAATGAACATAAACACCATTACCAAACAATGTAAACAATCCGCCAATGGCCCATAGAGTAGTACCGACATTCGCCGTTCTGGCGCTACGATCTTAATCTCAGTCGCCTAGCGAAGAGCCGGATAACTATATTATTTTTTCAGACTCCAAAAATTCTATAATGGGACTGCAAAACAATCATATAAAAATAAATAATAACAACTTATTCTTGAAAATCAAACAATTATGGTCAGACCATCTTAAAAACAGTTTTTTAATCAAGTTAGCCTGGATCCCTGGGCACAGGAATATAGAGGGTAATGAAAAAGCAGATCAGCTCGCAAAAAAACGCAAATATTCCATATAGAATCAACCAAGTATTAAACATAGATCTGATTCCTCATATCAAAGAAAGTACTTAAAATAAATTTCAACATTTTTGGGACCTCTCTTCAATGAATAAAGGTAGAAGGTATAGAGAGATACAACCGAAAATTCAAGAAAAACCATGGTTCAAGGAATGTCAAATGGTTTCCCGCAGGTCATTCACAGCCATTGTAAGATTAAGAATAGGTCATTGTTCTTTGCCGTTTCATCTTAATAAGATTAAAATTCAGGATTCTAACTTATGTGAATGTGGGAAATTTGGGGATATCAACCACTTCCTATTAGAATGTGAAAATAATAAGCACAATATTGACAGATTATATAATGAATCCTCAAATTGGGATTAAATCCTCCTATATCATATCAAATGATTCTAGGTAATCTCAATTCAGATTATGAAAAAATCAAAATATTGGCCAAGTTTATTGAGAAAAGCCATCAAGATATATAATGTCTTCTAACTCTTTATCTAATCATGAGAAATATCCACAATTAGTTTAATTAATATGTATATATTTGTATGTGTTGTAGATAAATTGTTGGGATACATAGTTAATATTCCATTAATGTACATAACATTTACTCGTACTAATGGGAACTAACAAACAACCCTACCCATAAATCCAAAAAATCCCAAGTATAAATATCAGCACCTGGAAACAAACCCACCTGATCTGGTGAAATTGACACCGCAAGGAGTCAGAAAACCAAGAAATACAAAAGAAGAAGAAAAGAAGATTTTTTTGTGCCCACCTGTTGCTTCTTAGTTTTGTTTCATGATAAGTTGATTTATGCTGAGATCTTGAATTTAAATGGTTTATTTCAAGTCTATCAAAATGGTATAACATTTTACTCAAAGAATCAATTCCAAGTCCTTTTGCTAATATTGTTATTTTGCAGTTTCAGTTGAACAGGACCATGTCCATAGCCACAAGTTGTATACAAAACTTCAAGGCTTCTTATTTTTGTACAAGATGTTTATCCACTGCACGTACCATTAATCCTGATGATATTATTGCAAAAGATGTAGATGATAAAGGAGTTGTAACATTGAATAGGCCAAAATCATTGAATGCTATCACCTATTCTATGATAACAAAATTGCATAAAATTTTGAAAGATTGGGAATCTAAGAAAACACTGGCAATAATCAAAGGAGCTGGTGAAAGAGCATTTTGCTCTGGTGGTGATGTTCCAGTCTTAGCTAAAGCAGAATTGAGTGGAGATAAATTTGGACAAGAATTTTTCAAGTATGTTTTCAGAACAATTGGATTGATAGGATCATACAGGATTCCTTATATATCTTTCATTGATGGAATAGTAGTGGGGGGTGGTTTTGGTCTATCTGTACATGGTCACTACAGAGTTGCTACTGAAAGAACTCTTTTTGCATTGCCTGAAACTCAAATTGGCTTCTTCACAGGTAATTTGTCACCATTCTATCCATATTTTTCAGAAAAATTTATATCCTACTGAAAATATCAGTTCATTCCTCATCAAGATATTCCATTTCAATTAAATTTCATTCCTAGAAATTGGTTTTATTGTAGAAAATCACCCCAAATATTATTCACCTATATCAAGGGCAAGATCCAGGCATTAATGTCCTGAGCTGGGCTCTGAGGAAAATTAAGAAAAAATGGTGTCCTTGTGTAATATGAATTAATTGACTGGGAATTTGATTTTATTTTGAGGTGTAATATCACTATATCAGGTGTTTCTCAAAAGTGGCTCACCTCCCTAACTTTTTTGTTTCTATTAATAAATAAATGAAAATCGACATGTAAGCATAGTACATAAATATGCATTTTTTGACATATTGAATTGTTTTCTGTCACTTCCAGTTTCACCGGAAATTACCCATATGTTCTGATTTTAAATGGGATACCCCGTATATTTTTACTTGTTTCGATACAGAATAACATTGTGACAACAATGCCACACCATTTTCCACTTTTTAAGATTTATCATCCTGAATGTCTCATTTTTCAATTTTCAATCTAGAGTGATATGATGATCTGCATATATATTGATTCAAAATATCAATAATGTGGTATCAACGTATTCATAACAAAATACTTTTTCTTTCAGATATAGTTTTAGTAATGAGTCATTCTTGTTCCATTAGAAAAAATTGAGTTAACATCACAATTATGATATTGTCTCGGATATTTTAAATTTTGAAAGAACCTTTACAAATTCAAAGTGAAACTTCAGGGAAACTATTTTGCCTCTATAATTAAAACTGAAATATAGAAAATTCACCATGATAAATGTCCAAAAGTTGCAAACGGGGTGTCCTTATACTCACAATGTTATTCTCTATTGAAATAAGTGAAAATATACCGGGTGTCCCATTTAAAATAAGAAAATATGGGTCATTTTCGGTCAAACTGAAAGTGACAGAAAACAACTGAATACGTCAAATAACGCATATTTATGTACTATACTTACGCACCGAATTTATTTGTTTATCTGTATAAACAACAAAGTTATATGGGTGAGCCACTTTTGAGAAACACCCGGTACATCCCCTTTTTTTTTGTTTTTCTAGCTATATTTTATGAAATTTTCAACATGGAATATGCTCACTAGAAGGTACTTTCTCACATTTTAGGATTTTTTCTTCAAATAGAACACCCTGTAATTTATTATACAATTGGTTAGAGATTATTATAAGGAATTCAAGGATACCCGGTTTTATAGGATTATTTCAAATGATTAGGAAGATATTGGCGTTTGAAGTTTTGGAAGTTCCAATGTGAATATCTTCAAAATCATTTGAAATAATATAACCCAACCTGGTATCCTTGAATTCCTTGTGTCACCCAGTATGTGATTGTGTGAATTTAATTTAATTTCTGGTCATATACTGTTTGGATAAATAACATGTGAAAATATAAATGGAAATCGAAAATAGCTTCTGAAGTTGTACATATATACAGGGTGTTTCGAAATTCGACCGACAACGCTTGACAGGTGATAGCCCTCGTGATTTCATAATCACTGAGATAGGGACAGACGGTCTTGAAGTGTTCAGTTCTCGAGATATAGGGCGTTGAAGTTGAGAAATTAAAATAGTTTTTTCTCGATATCTCATGAAAAATTGAATTAAATGCATTCAAATTCGGTATATGGTTTGATCTTTCAATGGTTAATTTTTTGACCAGAAAGACATTCCGAGAATTTTATCCAGAGGTGCGCTACAGAGGGTCGTGATAACTTTTCCGCACATATTTTCTACGCCACTGATGAAATTTCAATTATTTCTAATTTCTTGAATTGATTGTTCAATTATGTTGAAAAAGTGCATCACCTTCAACTAAGCTAAAATGAACAGTTATCGAGATATTTGACCCAAAATAGAAGTTTGCATAGTAATTTTTCATCTTCCTCAGTATTAGAAAATTACGAACATTTTTGTTCTCTCCTTATGCGTGGAATAACTATTTCTGTTCAGCTATAGCATGAGATCTGAATAGTATCTAATCTACTCAACACCAGAAAAATATTTTTGCAATTTTCTATTACTGAAAATGATGAAATATTACTATGCAATCTTCTATTTTGGGTCGAATATCTCGAAAACTGTTTATTTCAGCTCAGTTGAAGGTGATGCATTTTCTGAACAAAATTGAACAATGAATTCGAGGAATTGGAAATAATCGAAATTCAATCAGTGGCGTAGAAAATATGGAAGGAAAAAATGCCACAACCCCCTGTAGGGCACCACTGGACAAAATGTCCGGAATGGCTTCCAGGTCAAAAAATGGCCCATTCAAAGATGAAACCATATACCGAAGTTGAATGCATTATATTCAATTATTCTTGAGATATTGCGAAACAACTATTTTCATTTCTCAACTTCAACGCCCTGTATCTCGAGAACTGAACACTTGAAGACCGAATGTTCCTATCTCAATGATTATGAAATCACGAGGGCTATCACCTGTCAAACGTTGTCGGTCGAATTTCGAAACACCCTGTATATAGGAGTACATATTATACAGGGTGATTCCAAATTCAATGCAAATATTTCAAGGACCATTTTGTTAGAATGAAAATAAGACTTTTTCTTTATATAAACATGTGTCCTAAGATGCATCCCCTCCATGTACTTCCCTTCAACTCCCCCAAAACTGGGTTGACATAATTTTTGAATAAAAAAAAAACAGAAGGATGCCTGAAAAAACAAGGACATTCCAATTTTCAGACAATGTGATCCATAATTTCATGATCACAATTTCAGATAATCTTTTTTTTACCCAACTTACAGTGGCTGTAGCTCGGAAGGTGTTCATTTTAGGACACATGTTTTTATGAAGAAAAGGTCTTATTATGATCCCAACAATAGATCCTTGAAATATTTATATCGAATTTTGAATCACCTTGTATAATATGTTCATACCAGAGATTATACACTCAATCTCTGTTCATACTATTATGCCTTTATGTATTAGTCCATAAAGCCAATAATTGCTGTATTTTGAACCCAAAGGATGTAAAGTGTCTGGTGTTTGAGTTGAGGGGCAAACAATAACTCTCATATGTACAGGGTGGGCAAAATTGGGCGTTTTCACCGTCTATCTCAATAACTAGAGGAGTTATCGAAAAACCGATATACATGTTCCGGGTTCGATTTTGGAGAAACCTCGAATGACACAATCAAAATCTCGATATCTTCATTTGTTTTAGAGATACAGGGAAAAATTGAAAATTTGCCGATTTCGATTTTATTTTCTGACTACTTTACGGTGAGAGGTATCAAAAAATTTCAAACGTATATTTATTCAGTATAATGCGTGGAATCCATTGGCATCATCAGAAATTTTATACAGGGTGACTTTGAAAAGATACGGCAGCCAAATATGTTTTTTCTAATGGAACACCCCGTATATTTTGACACAGTTGAATAGTCCCAGGCGTTCTCATTACAAATATATATATATAACCCTACCTTTTTCTTCCACAATTTCAGATATATTCGCAAAAATATATTCAGTGTGTCACATTTCTTATGGTTACAACCCCGTATCTTCTGTAAAAATAATTGAGGTAGGATTCAAAAATTCGCAACTGTCATAAAGATACAAATGATACACTCATGGAGTCATGGACCGAGTGGGATCATCTCCAATGATAACACTGCTCGCCAGCAGCTATGAAATCATCGATATTTCTGGATAATGCAATCAACAGGCAGAATCGAGGTTGAAAATGACACTCTGTATATATTCACCAAATGTGGAAAATACATATCATAGGGAATTTAATTTCCAGATAAATGGATATTTGGTAAGAAATGAAATAAGAAATTATTCGATTTCATATCATTGGTATCAAGACATTCAAACTATTTAAGATACAGAAATAAGAGGAATAATTTATTTATTTGAGAAATAACAACGTATAAAGATATGGCTTCATAGAATATGTTCAAATTGTCTTCCATTTTGGCCTAAGCAAACTTCACATCGTTTCCTTACAGAATTCACTGCGTTGGTGATATGAATGGGTCTCACTTTTTGGAATGCTGGAATAGCGTCTTCACGTAGTTCTTCAGCGTTTTGGTGATTTCGGCGGTATACAGGGTCGCTGATATGTATGGAAACAAGTGAATATCTCTGTAACCTGTTGTTGGATTTTTTCAAATTTATGTAATGTCTGATTCCAAAACGTGGCGGATTTGAAAATGTTATAGCCAATGTTGCCACTTTTTCAGTTATTCCGGATTTTTCATTAACTTCCTTATTTTGAATGGAACACCCTGTACTTTATTGAATTTTCAGATTCTCCTTGGAAAGCTGATTCCATCGATCTATCACACTTGGGGTCTAGCGGAAATGATTACATAGGTATAGGGTGTTTAAAATCTAGATTTTTCAACTTTAGGACTTTTTTGTGTCGAAACTATTCATTATCGATCAAAACCGCTCCAATGTTCCTATCTTCACTTTTGATTTACCATCTACTGACATTTAATTGAAACAAATACAGGGTGGTTCAAGATTCAGAATTCTGATCACCCTCTGTATCTGTTCCAATTAAATGTCAGTAGATAGTAGATCAAAAGTAAAGATAGAACATTAGAGCGGTTTTGATCGATAATGGATAGTTTCGACACAAAAAAATCCAAAAATTGAAAAATCTTGATTTTAAACACCCTATACCTATGTGATCATTCCCGCTAGACCCCAAGTGTGATAGATCGATGGAATCAGCTCTTCAATGAGAACCTAAAACTCTATTAAAGTACAGGGTGTTTTATTCAAAATAAGGAAGTCACAAATCAAATCTGGAATAACTGAAGAAGTGGCAACATTGGCTATAACATTTTCAAATCCGCCACGTTTTGAAATCACACTGTACATAAATTCAAAAGAATTTAACAACAGGTCACCGAGATATTCACCTGTTTGCATA